ATCCTACATAGGCCGGAGTATCTCTAAAATTATGCTGTGGCATAATTTGAAGCTTGCCCATGTGAGGCATGCCCATCTCCAATTTTATAAATATGTTTATAGATTTTTATCCTTTGGCCCGTTTCATAAGAACATTAAAATTTTAGTTTAGTTAATCACGTTTTGATGAAGTCGATTCTGATTATTATTTACTGTTTTAGCAAAAGTTGACATTTTCAATATTTATTAATCATCGGAAATAATTTTAAAAGAAAATTTTCTATTTGAATTCAGACGCCACACTTTATGCAATCTGTAAAACAAAAAATATTTCAAATATCAATTGTCTGTTTAAATACTTTATAATAAAATGAATTAAGATTTCCTAACTAATTAGGAGATTATTGAGTTTTGTGAATCAGTGAGTATTAAATTAAACGATGAAAGATTGTAACTTTTGATAAATGATTTATGCCGACTAAATTTATGATTACATTGTAAGCCATTCATTATAAAATAATCTGAAGATTAAATCAGATTTAATAAAAGATAATTTCTCTTATCATCAATTATAACTAAATAATTTATTGCGAGTGAAATCACATAAAACAACATGTTCACTAAGTATTCGCTTTGATTTAATTCAGTAGATAAGAAAAAAAGTATAATTAAAATATTGTTTAAATTGGTGTAAAGCGAAAAGTAATTAACAATAATTAAATCAAGATCTGTCATGACACCTACACGTCCATCGACATTCTCTTAATGTAAGAATATACACGCGTTCTTAATAAAATATTTATAAACACAACTCAGACAAAAATAATGATCTCTTTGGTAAGCAGAAAAAAAAGGCAAGCGAATCCCATCAGATCAAAAACAAGTTTTTATTTTGAAAACTTGACAGAGGCAATGTTAGAACATTTGAAACTTGACTATCACGTATGCTTTTTGCAGCTTGATACATTCCAAGCTTTGGCTGTTTTACTACCTCTCTGCTTTCTTCAAAGAACAAAACTTTTGACTCATATTTAGTAGCATTGAAATTCAAAATAGAAACATCGTTTTTGAGAATGTTTGATTTTGTACACAAAACCTTGAATAACTTAATAAGAATATGGGAGTGTCGGCGATGAAATGAAACCAAACACTGGCGAATTAAAGTTTCTATAACATAAACAAAATTTAATCTTTCTCTACTTACTTTGTGCTAAAGTACTTTTATTGTAGAAATTATTTCATCTTCAAGCTCATAAAAATGTGCAGCAGCAATAAAAGAAAGATGAATAAAAATGTAGGTCACAATGTATAAATCGTATTCGTATCGCTTTTAAAGTGTCGTGTACTTTGTTCAGTTCCAACAGGCATAAATATAGTTTCATCGACATATTTATGCCACACATGTGACAAAATGCAAAGTAATCTATTTTTGGATTCCATCCATGTTTGCTAATCGAAAGACGACACAATGGAAGTTGAAAATACAAAATGATGAAAAAGTTAATAACGCGGTTTGTTCGGTTTTTTCATCTTTTGTTATCAACTTAAAGTCAGTAAAATGATTATGAACAGATGGACTGAGTGATGATATAACAATGGAAAGAAAAAGAAAAATATCATCGCAATAATGAACTGAATTTGATCTGATTTCATGGATCATTCTTCTTAGCGGTGATATATTTCTCTGACGTCAAGCTGTTAGCTTTTTGTTGTGAGAAGCGAATATGATTCAATTATCATGTTAAACTGGAAACTTTTTTTATATTCATCAATTCTACAATGAAACCGATTACACGAAAGTTTTTTTGACGCGTAAATCATTAGCAAGTTTTTTTTTAGTGATCGTCGATCATTACTTAATGGACAATGAATCATTTGATATGCCAAACATTTTCAAAGAGACAAAACACTTGAAAGAGAAAAATAAAATTCAGTGGAAAATATTTATAAATTCTATGGAAAATATTCGAGTAATCCAACGTGATGGTTTTGTCATCGACAACGTCAATCGGTTTGAGGGAATTTGTGAACTTTCAAGAGGAAGTGACCGTGAAGGAAAATTAGAATTTCGATTTGTATTTGTCTTTTGTTTGTTAAATGCCATTTGTTTGATGTCATTGCAATGACCAATGCATTGGTCTCGCTCACACGTGTATCGATTGATAAAAACGTCTGAAATTATTTGAAATTGAAAGCATTCTGCATTTCAGAAAATTTAAACATTTTAATTTATTTTCAACTAACGAGTATTGAAAACGTCACAACATAAAACAATTATGCGATGAATTTAAAAGGAATGAAAACACTTAATTAACGACGTAATTGAAAGTCAGCAATTATTTGCGAAGTTATCCATTGAGAAAATGCTTGAGAATTGCCGATCAACAACGATAAATGCATAATGATATAAAATCAGCGACGCAATAAATGTTTTCATCTCTTTTGCTCCATCGTTCGCCTGCACCGGCTTATCCACCTTTTTTATATAAACTCATTTTGTGTATTTCTCTCGATCGTCTATTGTTATGGAATTCAAGATGTAAATATTTGATCATTTATAAAATACTTGAGACATTCGGAATTAAACATTTTCCCTTTTATGGATCATCCGAATGAATTTTTATTTCGTTTTTCATCTTGCATCATCTGAAATTGACAGAACTTTCACAATTTCTTCTTTCTCTTTAACTAAGTTAAATATTTGAGGGCTTATTGTGAGAATGGGAAGTACAAGCTCAAAGCGTGCGTTGAAACACGAAAGAAAAAAAAAAGGCAATGACGTAAATCGACTAATGTTGCGAATGTATTGGAGTAGTATTTTGGATTTTAAAGCGAGAGACGAACTTAGGGTCAATAGCATATTATCAACGTATTATTGCATTAATCAAGTGACGACATGTCACAAGAATGACTAAGAAACACTTCTTGGTACTTCGACTCTGTTTCTTATCTGTTTCACGGCCTTTTGTGTGCAGTTGAATGGATTAAAAACGAATACATTTGAAGAGAAGTTGAAGTTTTTATTTCTCTTTCTCTCTGGTTGTGTTGCTTGATTGGGAAAATCGTTTGTTGATGTCATCTTCAATCAAACTGATTGTGATTCATGTTAAATGAATTCAATTCTTATGAAAAGATGAATGGGAATTTCTACCAAAATTCCACTTGATTGTGACAACATAGTTTAACCATCCCCACTTCCAAACTCTGCTCATATTTTTGTTCACTTCATACTCTTGCTTCCAGAGCGTTTTTTAACTTCAGATCGCGACGACTGAGACACTTTGGTCCCCGCGCCGCAAATTCATTTTTTTTTCTTAATTAATATTCGAGAATTCACGTCGAGGTTTTTTATTAAATACGCGTATAAGTTTAAATCATTGCGACAATACTTTGTACAATTTTTTTGTTTACTGCTTGATAAGGATTTGAGAGTAACGCAGAATAATTCAGTGAACTAGAAAACCCGAAACTTCGGCATTGAAATCTTTTTTTTTCTACTTCATAATAAAAGAAAAAGAGAAACGTGAAAAGATATTTTTTCTCTTGCATTTCATTGAATTTGTGTAAATTTAATTAAATTGGAAATATGTAAAAAGCAAATTGAGCAGAACTCAAACCACCTGTTAATGGTTTCATGCAAAGAGTGAAATTACTGATGCTTAATGACGTCAATGACGTCCCGTGATGATTGTGTTGATGAAAAAAAAATAATTAATAGTGAAATTATCTTACTACCGTCGTGACATTTATGTTAGCTTCTTTGAACTCAACAATCAACTCGATTGAAGTGAAGTTGACTTATTTCTGCGGTCATCGCTTCGACTTTACTTAAAACGGCAATAATAGTGAAGTGAATTGCCAACTCTCTTAAGTGCTGCCGCTGATCAATCAGACGAGTAGTCAAGACAAAAAAAGAAAAGGAAAAGAGCTTAAACTCTGCCCGACGGCCTTACTTGGTCAATGTTGAACAGATACAAAAGTCATAAAGGCACAAGAAATGTGTAAATGTTGACGATAATAAAAAAAAATAAAAGTGATTTTAATTTGCGGTTGCCACATAGATAATTGAAATTAAAAAACATTACACGAAACGTCACGAGTGACTCGACGATCCCGCCTGAATATCTCTCCTGACAAATTGATCTTTCTGTTTTCATTTGCTGTCGTTTTGTATGATATTTGATCGGCATGAGAAATTAGCAAATTGTTGCGAAGAAAGAAAAAGAAAACGAAAAAAGCTTAGAAAGCATTTTTTTATATGAGATTCAGAGCAAACCGCTTTGATCGTGTCGTGTCAGTGACCGTCGTCAGCAAAAAAATATAAAAAAGAAAAACATTTAAAATATCTGCTTGCGAATTCTGAAAACCGTTAACTGTGTCATTTTAATTATTTCTCGTGGTTCAATGAGAGCTGTTCGATAATTTAAAGATCATCCCTAAAGCAAGTAAAATATTTACGAAAATAGAAAGAATTTTGTTGATTCTTTTGCTTAAGTTATTGAGTACTGATAACGCCAAAGCCAACATAACAGAAATTTGCTTTGGTGAGAGAAATGTTCATGCCCGCTCCAACGATCAGTACTGTTACGACCACCACCCGGAGCATACCAACTCTAACGATTTACGAGGATTTTGATAAAATCATCGCCAAGGAAGTTTGTTTCACTGATACAGGTGAGAGTTGTTTTAAATGCAACATTTTTTGTTATTAAATTATTGTTATGACGGCTTCGATGAATAAATTTACTGATTTTAAACAGTTTCTTATCATAAGAGATTTTTTCTTGTTTCACAACTTCAGTCTGAAACTCAAATGTTTTTAATTTTATTTGGTTCACGAAAAAGTGATTAAAGCTTAAAAAAAGTGAAATCGTCTTCGCATAAATTTATTTAAATTTCTATCAATTTATTCACAGACGAAAAAAGCTTCGAAAGATTGTTTTCATAACAAAATATGCTGTCGCTGTTTTAAAAATAAAAATTCATTTCCATGTCACATTTTATTACGAAAGGAAGTTGAAAATGAAATTAAATTCTATTAATTACAATTTTTAAATTAAGAGATGACTGTCAGATTGAGATTTGTCAAGTTGTATTAGCGAGTTATGATTAAATACTTAAACAACTGTGCAACAATCTTTATTCGGATTTTATCTTTTAAAGATTCATAAAAATGTCATATGAAGTAAACTTTGATCTTTACCAATATTTATTTTCATTAATCTTCATTATAAAACCATTTTTCTCATAGTTTCAATATTAAGTTATCCAAAAGCTCAATGATTGACGTAAACAACATCTCTATCCACAATTATGAATTTCCTTAGCGTGATGCTCATCAACGACACTTGATTTACGCGGTTTACTTGCTTAAGAAGGTCACGATTCACAACAAACATCTAAACGATTTCTAAAATATTGTTTCAGGTGAAAAGAAAATTGTAAAACTTCTGCATTTCCCTAACATAACGCCAACTGAACAAAGACGCTTACTAATGTCTGCATCAGACTCTGGATCCGGTTCAGCTGATGAGCGGGAAAAAGTTTCTAGTTCCATTGATATGGCGGCACACAAACCGCCGAGAAAGAAGTCATCGACGAAGCGATCACTTGATATGCAACGCAAAATATCGCTGAGTAAATTGAGAGATGAAAAGAAAGAAAAAGATTCGAACAACCACTCAACTAGTAGTCAATCAGCTGATTCTACAACTCCTTCATCATCACCGTCCATCAATTGTCATTCAGCGCCACTTAAGATGAGAAATCATCGCTCGAACGGAGCTCGCAACGGAAGAATCTCAGACGGTTATGATCAATATCTGAAGCAATATCTGCTTCAAGTTCCGATGCCAAAAGATTATGGTGAACCATCAAGCGATGATTTATCCAGTGAGTGGGATTCTGATGGCATTCCCGATACAAAACATAATGAACCGAATAAAGAATCTAAGGTGAGTGAGTCTGTTTGACGTTCATTTGAATAAGAAAAATGTTAATCACATGCAAACATGTAAAATAATTTATAAAAAATGTGCAAAATTATGTAACCAAAACAAAAGACGTCAATCGCGGTTTTATTGGTTTTTTAACACGACTCAGAGAACACAGAAAACTATTTTCATTGCAACTTTAAGTTACAAATAATGTTTGAAAAACTTAAAGTGATTTCAATGGTTCGATGAGTTTAAAAACACAACGTAAGCTTAAATGATTAAAACGATTTTCTTGTTTATCCAACTGAATTAAAGTTTGAGTTAAATTAATGTTTTCATGTCGATTATAGCAAATTTGAGTCAATTATTCAGCAACATGTTGAGCGGGATAATAAAGCATCCAAATAATTTTAAATCACTTAATTTAATATCTCTTGCGACATGTTATTTTTATTCCACTTCAAAGTTCATTGTAGAGTCAAGAACCAAGAACATTCTTTCAGTTTATTACTTAACACAAAGAGCTTTTAAAAACGAAAATTATGAAATTCATTAGTGAAGCGTTCATTTAATGTGTGGTTGAAGAACTAAATTATATTTCACCACATCGTCAAAGTGTTTGCGTAAGAACACGTAAAACACAAAACAAACTGATTAAATAAACGACTCGATGTGACACCTTTCTATCAAGCATTTGGTTTCCCTTTGCTTCTTGTCGGAATCAGCAAGTATTTCTTTTATTAGAAATAAATATTTACTCATCAATTACGTCCATTGGACGATGTTGAGAGAGTTGACACAATTCTTTTCTTCTTAAACGATATCACTAAATATGTAAATCAATATTTTAACATTTCAGTCAGTCATTGGATGGAGAAAGTTAAGAAATATCGTTCAATGGACGCCTTTCTTTCAAACATCAAAAAACAAACAGAAATACCCTTGGGTTCAGTTAGCTGGTCATCAAGGCAACTTTAAAGCTGGAACAGAAGGAACAGTTCTTAAGAAAATGACACCAAAGGAAGAAATTTGCTTTCAAAAGCTCATGGAGGATGTTTTACGACCATATGTTCCTGAGTTCAGAGGTGTTGTAAACGGTGACGACGAAGATGAATGTAAGCAACAAACTTTTAACTGTAATTAATCAAATGATTCATTAAGTTGTTCTTACAGCTCAATATATTCAACTACAAGACCTTTTAAGTGACTTTAACAAGCCTTGTTGCGTAATGGATTGTAAAATTGGCGTACGAACTTATCTCGAAGAAGAACTTCTTAAGGCCAAAGAGAAACAAAAGCTTAGAAAGGTGAGAACACTTGTCGATGATGAATTCATTTGAAGTTTCGTTGTTTAACTAACTGAATAAATACAATACTTGTCTACTCAACCTAATAATCTATTTCAAATGTTCATTCTATTAGGATATGTATGAAAAAATGATTCAAATCGATCCAAACGCTCCAACAGAAGAAGAACATAAGGCCAAAGGTGTGACGAAGCCACGCTATATGGTAAACAAAATATTTCTGGTTCTACTCTATTTAACACAGCAAGTTGATTTAAAATTTATTTTCAGGTATGGCGTGAGACAATCTCAAGCACAGCAAATCTCGGTTTTCGAATCGAGGGTATTAAAAAAGACGATTTAAAGTCGAAAGATTTTAAGACAATTAAATCACGAGATGAAGTGAAAGAAATGTTTAAAGAATTTTGTAATGGTTATCCTCATGCATTAGTAAGATTAATGCAACTTTCTGTTTCTTCTACATCATTGAAACTTTTTTAAATCTAATCAACAGCCTAAATACATTCAACGCCTGAAAGCAATTCGTGCCACTTTAGAGCATTCAGAATTTTTCAAATCACATGAAATAATCGGAAGTTCTTTGTTATTCCTCCATGACCGGAAGCATGCCAGCTGCTGGCTGATTGACTTTGCAAAGACTGGAACACTTCCTGAAAATAAAAAGATTACTCATAGTAAATGTTGGGAGGTTGGAAATCACGAAGACGGATATTTAATTGGACTTAACAATATTATTGAAATTTTTGGTGCAGTGAAAGATGAACTGGAAAAAGAAAACTTTGAAAGTAATTCAGACTCAAGTGAATGAAATCATCGATGATGACAAGATCTGTTGTGGGTTGATCTTAATGTTTTCACTTTTTACAACAAAGTGAGAAGGAAATTTACACAGTTTTTATATCTTAATTGCGCAATTCAACGCCGCCATTCTCTCAACTTTATTTGCAATTAAAAAAAATTATCTTAAGGTTGTTAATTGTTATTCTGTAGATAAGAAAAAAAAAAGAAATTTAAGAAGACAAAACAAATTCTTCCACTCTCAAAGATAAAACTACAATGTCAAATGTGTTATTTTTACTAACTTATTTTTGCTTATCTGATAAAGATGAAAACAATTGCTTAAGTTCCTTTTCCAGCTTCTGTTTTCGTTTAGTCTTCAAGGTCTGTTTATTTCGCAATGTTTCAGATGATGATCTAAAGTGCAAGTGAGTGAGTGAGTAAGTAGGCTACAGTTTTATTTTTCATGGTCGTTCTTAAGCCACCGTTGACTGTTAATTTACTGTGCACAGTTAAAAGTATAATATTGATCATTCTTATGGCAGGTCGGAAATTCCCTTAAAATGAGGAAAGAAGTTTTGCTAAACGTTTGTACAATTGTTTGCTTTAAAACTCTTTTTCTTTTTGCAATTACTGTTTATCGAAGAAATAAAATACTGACTTTGAATGTTATCGTTTTAAAACAACTTGGACGTGACAAAAACATTGTTCGTTTTGAGATAAATTAAACATTTCCCTCGAACTTCTGATAAAAACTCAAGAAAAGCATAAAAGACTTTGACAACTTTTAAATGTTCTCAGTTACTTCATTAGGTAGAAAATATTTTTGTTTCAAGAATTCTCACTGGAGAAAATGTAAAGTTAATTTAGCATGAAATCTGATGACTTATTTATTCATTTATTTATCAGGAAAGTTCTCGGCTTGTCACTTTTATTTTTCGGATTTCTGCATATCAACGCTTTGATATTGGAATGCAATTTCAGTACGGTTACGTGGTCATTGATAGGATCTGTTTACACTTGTACTGGAGCTATTCAGAATATTACAGACAACAGAAATATTTCAGATGTTATAGGAAACCACACAGCTGATTTCAATAATTCAAATGTTCAAGCAGTGGCAATAGCCGCACAAAATCTTTCGAATGGAATTCCATTGAATTTCGACATGTTCTTTCCAAATCTCACAGTTCTAAGTTTTTCAAATGTGGGATTAACATCAGTTTCACGTTCGGATATTTCACCATATTTGAGCCTACAACTTTTGATTTTATTTAACAATCAGTTGGAATCACTTGAAGGGGATTTGTTTTCGGATACGCCCATGCTGCAATATATAAACTTAAATTCAAACAGAATCAGACACTTAGGACCAAATATATTTGCACCTTTAGTCAACTTAAGAACACTTCGAATGCAGAATAATGTTTGTATTAATGATTATGTCGATAACAATACGACGGGAATATCTTCGTTGCAATGGGAAGCTTCATTTCGATGTCCATCATCGTTTGAACAATTAGAACAAAATATTTTAAATGGAGAAAATTTTGGAAACATCATTAATCAACTATTTGATCAAATTTCAATTCTCGAAGAACGAGTTTCACAGTTGGAGAACCGAAACATGACTATGGTTGAGTAAAAAAAGCCACTTTGTTACTGAAAACTCATAAATATTAATGTAGACACAAAGTGGATAAAATTGTTTAAGTTTAAAAGAAGAAGTTGTCTCAAGTAATTGCCATTTTTAACATTTAACATATTGTGCATCAACATGCAATGAGAGAATTATAACAATTAATAAAGGAAGGATGTTAAAATTGTTAAGTCTACAAGGTTTACTTTGCAATACTTTGTATGCCGTAATTGTTTCAATTTACTTCACAGTCACGAAGGAGTAGATCACATTTTATAATGAGAATAAGCATAGTTTGTAATTTACAATGTGATCATATCCAAAGCCGAGGCGAGTGAGTTTAATACCTAAATTAAAAAAAAACTACAAATATAAAGCACAGTTTTAACTGTTTTTTTTTTTTTGAAAACAAGTTCCCTACCCCTTTCAATTTAAAAAAGCGCCTTTTGTCAGTTTCTTGTAAAATTCCTTTGCAACTACTTCGATGTGTTCAGTAAAAAATTTTCTTCAACTAAAATCACAAAAAAGCTAAAATAATGTTTTAATATTCTAAAAATTAACAGAAGTAACTTTAACATCTTAAAACGATGAATTGTCATCAAATATTAAGTGGAGCATGCAATGCTGGAGACAGGTGCTTTGCCGTTGGCTCAGTAGAAGGTGTTTCGTTTACGGTAAGAAAAGTTTGTTGTTGTAAAAATATTTTCATCTTTTTTCCTTACATTCATTATAAAGTAAGCATGAAGACAATGGAAATGTGTTTTGCTTACGTCATTTATCAGTTTTAATATTGAAAAGATGTCAAATAATATGCTCATCACGTTTTTCTAACCGATGAAAAAAATAATCGATAAAATTTTCCATCATGAGATTGTTGGATTCATTAAATCCCCCAAGATGTGATAAAAACTAATGTCACATTGATTCATCCGGAAACTTATGATTCTTATCAATTGGCTCCAGCTAACCCGTGATAAAGTTTTTATTGCTTAAAGTTTTGCTACGAAAGTCAGCTGACACTTCTTATTCTTCATCTTCTCTTTATCGCGTATTTTCGCGATGTGTAGTTTTTCTTTTCTTCATTTTTATACGTACGACGACGTATTTCACGGTGCTAATTGTATATGTGAGTGAGTAGTGCATTGGTTTGTAAACAGATATTTTTTTTCTTTTGTTTACAAATCTCATTATCGTCGCTTAATAAAAGTTTTTTCTTTTAATTAAATAGATTCGTTGATAATGATAAATTTCATCTTTTTCAGGCTTACGCAGCTGGCTGCAACATTGTCATACTCGCAAGTACATTTGAACGTGTACAAATCATTCCTGGTGCAAAGCATAATTATATCAGAATATCAGCGCTTGATTGTAGCACGGACACGGGAAAAATCGCCGCAGCATATGAGGACAAAGTTTGTATATTTGAACCAACGCCTTTGATTCACAGTTCACAACCACCAGTACATGGACTTGAATACAAATGGGTTCAAACTGGAACACTTCAAGCGTCATCACACATCAGTTCTTTATCATGGAACTTGGAAGGCACCAGACTACTTACCGGCGGTATTGTCCTTGAAATGTGGCATGAAAAATTCGGAAAACCAGACGATGAAACTCAAGAATCATCAAATGGTGAGATTATGCAATAATTTGTGATTCACAATTATCAATAATTTTTTTCCATTTCTAGTGAAATTTGAAATCGGTGGCGGTGATCCAAGAACACCAACAAATGAACAAGACGATGTTTCAGATGAAACATGGGAATGTGTATGGAAGTGTCACACAGCAGCTCCAGTTCATCACATGGCATTCAGTCCCGATGGAACACTCTTTGCGACTTCTGGAAAAAATGATCGATTAGTTAAAGTTTGGTACGAGAACAAACATTGTAAGTTGATAAATTTATTTTAATATTCTTAACAATTGAACTTTAATTTCTTTTCTTCTTCAAGTGTTATTTCCATCACGAAATCTCGAACATAATCATTCGATGGGAAGTTTTATCGGCAATCCAATGGAATTAAATTATGGATTTGTTTATGTCGCACATCCTCGCGCTGTCACGCATATATCGTGGCGAAAGACGAGTAAGTACATGCCAAAAGGATCAGTTTCTAACATGTTAGTGACGTCGTGTTTGGACAACATTTGTCGGATCTGGGTTGAGACAGTCTTACCCGACGACGGACTTGTCAACATGAATCAATTCGATCCACTTGCATCACAGAATCCCAAATTTCGAACCCATCGTCACAAACATCGATTCATGCAACGATTGAAGCACATGAAAACATGTTTTCATATTCGACGTCATGCGAAGCATCACGCAGCAACTGGCATCAGTGGAATGGCTGCAGGCTTTGGCGGACTTGGAACAGCGAATGGTTTTGGACAGCCGCCGATTCCTACGTTACCATCAACTTACAGTGTTCATGATTTCCATTCTTACGGCTATCATGGAACGGGAGTCACGCCCGGACTTCATTTTCATCTCGCTGCAAGCATAAATGCTGAAACTGACATTCCATTAGTTCCATCTATGCAAACAAACGACCCAGCATCACAACCAAACTTCATTCTGCATTGGTTGAATAACAAAGAAATGCATTTCTCATTGCAAGCTGAAAGCATCATGCAAGACATGACGCGAAAGTTGATTGAGAAGGAAGACTTGAACAATCTTTTGACAGGAGGTGAAAATAGTCATTCGGAACATTCAGCTGATGATCATCATCACGGTGTTGCTGCTGACGAAGTTAAAAGCAAGCTAATTAAAATGAACAAATCAATGTCACATGATGAGAGTCAACAAAGTGATGAAGTTCATCCACAACATCAACCACAACAGCATGGACATCGTTCACAATCAATTGGCGCGACAGTTCCACCATCACACACACTTTCCAACACCACATCAATTCAATCTTTGATGACTGATGGACAAACTGCTGGTCATGGTGTTGGTGGTGGTTTGAATGTCAATGCAGCGACTGATTCATTGGACATGAAAATTGAATGTTTACTTCGTGATTGGCATCACAATCCTGATTTACTCTTCTCAATTCATCCAATTGATGGAAGTTTCTTGATTTGGGTGATTGAATGGTTGGATGAATATCATCCTGGATCATTTCGACAAGCCCAAGTGTCATTCTCTACAAGAATTCCATCAGCATTTCCACTTGGCGATGCGATGTCAATGTCGACAACTGTCAGTTTATTTTCATCCGGTATTAATTATTTGCATTTTCGTGATATGGTCATAAAAGGTGTGTCGAAAGCAACGACGAAAGAAGGAACATCGACAACAAAAGATCATGGCGATGGGGACATTGGAACGCCATTGCCAAGTGTTCAAGAAGAAAACGATCTTGAACCAGCTGACGGCGATAACAACGAAGATGATGAACAAGCGGAAGGAGAAGACGAAAAGAAACCGGAAACATCATCAGCAAATGATTCTGGAAACATAAATGACGCCGCTCATCATATTGTCAATGATTTACTTATGGCACCGCCATCACCAACAATCTCAATGGTGACAAAACATTCAAATGGAACTTTAAATTTATGGCAATTAACATTCGCTGATAAAAGTAAATTTTCTCAAGTTTTAAGTATTGGACATGCATCGAGAGCAAGTGGACATCGTTTTCGTGTTAATGATATCACTTGTCATCCAGTGTTGCCTTTATTGTTAACAACATCACATCACAACATCCCAGAATTAACAGCAAATGAAGGTGGTGAAGATGATGATGAGAATAGCAGCAACAATCGATTTACTGCTGACAAATTGAGACGAGGAAAAGATGTTTGCGTTCCACTTGGATTTTGTTCGGAACTTATTTTATGGCGAGTTGATTCGGTTGGTCCATTATCACAATCTGGCGGTGTTTGTGAGCTTGCAAGGATAAATTCACCGGAAATATCAGCATTTAGTAATGTGGCTTGGATTCCAACACTTTTACCGAGTACAACGCTTGGAAATTTATCGAATTCACCATCAGCATGTTTCGTTGCAAGTGATGGCGAATCGCTTCGTGTTTATCAAGCTGTAATTGATGCAAGAACGCTTCTTGCTGAAATTTCAAGTTCTGAACGTCGACATCGTTTAATGACAGACTCGATGATGTCATTGTCAACTGAATGTTCATCACTTAACGAACAATTGATGCATCATCAATCGCCACTTCATGATAAAATTAAAATCGTATCACAACAATCGACAGCACGTCCTGGTTGTATAATTCAATTGGATGCAATTGACGATGCGACACATGATTGGCAGAATACGCAATTCTTGCATGTTTTTCAAGAACAATTAATAACAGGTGAGAGAAACGATTCAAATTCGACGGGATTGATTGAAAAGCTTGGCATGGATGTGAGTAATGAACCAATTGGTGGATTGATGGAGAAAGAAATGGATGCGATGGTTGATTTACAGAGAAATTCAGTGTTTGAAGAGCCTTTTTACATCGTCGTTCTTGAGCGAACTCAAAAAGGAACGACAGTTCATATGTGGCGTATTGTCATTGCATCTCAACCTATTGAAAATGATTTAACAAGCAGCATGATGTACGTTCCCGATAGTAACATTGTTCAAGACTTAGACGATCCTGATGATCATCAAAGCAAACTTGGACGACAATCATCAGCTGGAATGACAGCCGATGATAATAAAACTGGTGGGACAAACGAATATTGTCCACGTGTCAATATTTCAACAACGAAAGTTTGCACACAAGAACTTCCACTTGCTGAAGGTGTTGATGTTGTTCATGCTTCACCAGCTGCTGGCCATTTAAGTTCATCGTCGATTTATCCAGCATGCTTTGCTCCTTACATCATTGTCACGGCATGTTCTGATTCGACAGTTCGCTTTTGGAAATGCAAAGTGACGAAAGTTAAGCAAGGAAATTCATCGTCAAGTAACAAATTTAAATACGAATGGCGTGAATGGGACATGATAAGGAAAGATCAAGAATCAACGATTGATATTAATGGACAATTATTGAATATTAGTGCAGCTTATAGTGGACGAATAGCTTGTGCATATAAATATGGAAAATCGTTCACACGTCCAACAAAAGCTGATCCTGAATCGCGTTATGTGAATCTTTGTGTTGCAATTTACGAGTGTGAAAGCACGGGTGGAAGTGAGTGGGTGTTGGAAGACACAATTCACTTAAAGAACATTCATTTACCACGAATTCAAGTCGATCCACATCTTGATTTGAGTTATCTTTATGATCATAAATCATTGATGAAGAAGCAAAGATTGCAACAAGTTCTTCATCCATACACATCGCACGATGATCTCATACGAACACCAAATCGTCACGGTGGAAGTTCAAGCAGTATTAATGGTGAAACAACGCCAGAGAATCTTAAGCCAACGAATAATGGAGGATTGTTGGCTGTGCCAAGTTTCAGTACGTTACAAAGTTTAAGAAAATCGATAACTGAACATGGCAACACTTGTCCATTGACACAGAAACATTTGGTGCAATTGGATTGGGTATCGAAGGAAGATGGATCACATATATTGACAGTTGCTGTTGGCAGTAAGATTATGTTGTTTACACCAGTCTCAAGTGATTTAGCACAAGCAAATATGAAAGCAATGAAGGAAAGTCAGACAGCAAATCGACCTTTGTTACGTAAAGCAAGTTCACTTGCACGTCCACACTTCAACGATGAGATTCGTTGGATGAAATTACGTCAAATTGAATTAAGCACAGCTGATGGTTTACCACCATTACCTATGCAAATCTCGTGGGTTCGTGATGGAATTTTTGTAGCTGGAATGGATTCTGAAATGCATGTTTACTCACAATGGAAGCCACGCGATTACAAGCAGATTTTATCACATCATTTAGAGAGTTTAGATAACTTTTATGACACGAGAATCTTACGTGATGAAGATCTTCGTTCACTTGTGAATGAGAGTAATCAAAGACGATTAGCAAACGTTCCATCAATGCCACATTTGTCACGAATTAGCGCAACAAATTTACAGATGTTTGGTGCTCAAGAAAAGAAAAAGAAAGGCGGAGGTGGCAACAACAACAATGGACAAGTTCAAGATGTTCCAATCAATTATGATTACATGAACGATTTTGGATTGTTTGAAGCGTCACGTATCGCTTGTCCCGTCCTTCCACAATATCATCCCAAGCAATTAATGGAATTGTTGAATTCTGGAAAGATTCGTTGGGTCAAAGCAATTCTTGCTCATTTAGTTCGTTGCATTAGTGGATCTTGTGCTGTAAGAGGTGGTGGTAATGATGAAGAAAGCTTGAATCGTCAACAGGTGAGAAAAAGAATGAAACTTCTTTTACTACATGAATGTCTAAATTAATCTCAAAATTCACATTTAGAAGAAAATTAACAAAAACTTTTCGACAATTTTCCTCTGCTACCCTAATCCACCACATGACACCATTAAAATTATTTTTTCCTTGCTCCGCCTTGCTTGATGAAATGATTAATGAGTTGGAAATTTAATTTGACCCGAAACGAGACCGTGTACGGTCTTTTATCTTACGTCCTTCGGTCTGCCTTGAGCTACTCAAAATTAGAAAATTCTTTTTTCCTTTTTGGGTCGTACGAGTGACAGATCAAAGGAAAAATCCTTGTTTCTCTTTAACTTACTTCTGTTTATACTGCAAAATGAAATTATGATAATTTAATGATGACTACAAGTCATTATCATTGAAGCTTCTTCATTAGCACATTTTATTGGTCTTGCAATTTTCTAGCAACAACTTTGATTTATTTTCTTGTTTCTTTTTAATGTAAGAATTCGCTACTTGCTTAAAGCTAATTAAACTGGCCAAAGAAAACAATGCATTCAGAGCTGGAAATTAAATGTTTATTTTTATCCTGAAAGTTGAAAGATCCGCGGGAAAACGCTCCATTGTGTACAAATGATATTGATATCACTTTTTCCTCATTAAAATTTTAATTAAAATATAATAGAACTTCTTGACTTAAAAACATTCCTTATTGCCATAAATTATAATCTTGGAAAACAAGGAAAATTAGCACAATTCTAAAATTAAATTAAAATTATTCAAGAATTTATTTCTTTCCTTTTTCTTTCATTTTCTTCTTTTTGTTTTGACTTAAATGACCTTTTGAACGAATAGGAAAAAGCTCTTTTGACTGCTTGAAGGCATAAATTACTGCTTAATCAATTACCAAATGCTTAAATATTTGATTTTATTGATCAACATGAAATTAAATATTTATTTGTGCTTGCTTTATAAATTACATTCATTATTTAGTTGAATAAGCGAATCATGATTTTTTTATTTCTGTATGTGTATGAAAATCTTTTCTTTCTCTATCCTACAGCGAGGTTGGTCGAGATCTCGCACACTTTCTGTGAGCTATGCCGCTGGCACAACTAGTCCATTAGAACCGCGTGGTTCAACTACACAGGTGCGATATTTGTTTCTTCTTTATTTTGTTTTATGTTTTATTCCATTATTTAATTATTATCTTCGATGGTTTTAGATTTTCAATGCAATTAGATAAGTTAGAAATTTAAATGTTTTGTATGTTTGTCTTTAGGATGTTGTGAAAATTTCGTATTTTGAAATTATTTAGTGAAGAGAAGTCACGTAGAAATTTAGAATTCAGTTAGAACTTCAACAAAACCTTCGTCTGAACGTCATTTCATTGTCCGGTTCATTTATTAACTTAAAATTTCATCAATTTCGTTTAGATTCCTGAAGAATTAACATTAGACTATGCTGAGATAACATCAATACCACCATTACCATTATGGACACTTTTAGCTGCTGATAAAGAGAATCTTGCTCAACAACAGAAGGAAGAAGTTAAGGTTTGTTCATTTCTTCTACAAATTACAAGCATTTATTAAATGACTTCTATTGGCAGGATTATAATGAACTCTTCGACAGTAGCATTGCTGAAGACGATTTAGATGAGTTGCTTGAAGACGACGGCGACTCGCCACGTCGTTTCGATCGACGTTCATCAATTCCCGAACGTCAATATTTGTCACATTTTGGACCACGCCAAGGACAATTGTTGTCACGTCTACTCACACACACACATCTTCCTGGCTTGTCAAGTTTAGATCAAATGCATCTCCTTGCTTTGGCTGATACAGTTTCAACTTGCAACACTGACTTTGCTGAAAGATTCGCTATCGATGCAGCGAAAACTGCAATCGCCAAAGAGAATTTAACTGGAAATCCTGGCGACAGTGAAAATCTGTCAACAGACTCACTTGATGATTGCGGTTTAAGATTCCTTTTAGCGATGAAACATTTCAGTTATTTACTACGTTGTTTACCACTCGCACAACGTACACAATTCCAAAAACAAGGCGTGGGAACATCAAACATCGTTTGGGCTTTTCATTCTGAAAGTGAAGAAGAATTATTGAATTTAATTCCAAATTATTCCAAAGGACAAGTTAAATGGAGTCAATTGAAGGAGTTGGGGGTTGGTTGGTGGTTGAGAAACCAAACATTGTTGAGAACTTGCGTCGAAAAGTTAGCAAAAGCAGCTTTTCAAGCGAAACAAGACCCACTCGATGCCGCAATTTATTATTTTGCAATGAAAAAGAAATCCGTCGTTTGGGGATTGTTCAGAAATCAACGTGATGAGAAAATGACGCAATTCTTTCAAAATAATTTCAGTGAAGATCGATGGAGAAAAGCAGCATTGAAAAATGCTTTCGCTTTGTTAGGAAAACAAAGATTTGAACATGCAGTCGCATTCTTCCTTCTCGCTGGCAGTTTAAATGATGCATTGGAAGTTTGTTTAACGAAACTTGAAGATTTACAGCTTGCGATGATTATCACACGACTTTATGAAGGCGAACACGATAATTCACCGCCAAGTTACAAGAAACTCATTTATGAAGAGATTCTCGGTTGTGATAAAAACGGTGAGAATCAAGACATCGAACGTGCACATCCCGATCCATTCCTACGTTCAATGGCTTTATGGATATTGAAAGATTACAGCGGATCTCTTGGAACTTTATTGCAAAATGAAGTTGGATTATTACATAAAGCATACGACGATGAAGATCCATCACTTCTTCATGCTTCAACACATTCAGGAAAGACAGCAAATCCAAATGTCTTCAACTTTTATGTTTATCTTCGTACACATCCACTTTTAATTCGTCAACACATCGCAACGACGGCACTTGAAAAGAAACGAACACAAGTTGTTTTAAGTGGTTTCAGTTTCGGTGGAGTTGGTGGAATGACAAGAGCTGAAAGTATTAGTGCAGCAATGGGGCAGAATGGAAAGATTAAATCAAGTACAATGGCGACTGATAAACAATTACATCTCGAAGATTCTATAACACCACTTGAACGTCAATTGTACTTCACAACAGCTCACGGACATTTCAAAGCTGGTTGTCCAGCATTAGCGCTTGAAGTTCTCAGTAAACTTCCAACAAAGGTCATTGAAACTGATGGACATGAAAGCGACATTGACAATTTAAGTAATGCAACTACTGACAACAAAAAAGATACAAACATGAATCTTATCGAGACGGGAACATTCGATTGGAGTCAACCAACATCGACGACAGCAGCAATCAATAACACATCAAGTAGCTTTGATTGGAGTGCACCCGTGTCACAATCAGTTGATGATGGATTTAAAATTGTTTGGGATGATGCAGACGAAGAAGAAGACGACGACGATGATGACGGAGGCGGATTAGGAATGAAAATTGATAAAAACATAGAAGAGAAAGAAAATGAAAAAGGAAATCAAGACAATACCAAAGCAACAGTAAATCCAAGTGATAATAATAATTTAAGTGATAGTCAAGTTGGACAATTGGATATCATGGCACAACAATTAAAATTCATTGCATGTTTAAAGATTTTAATGGAAGAATTATCAACACTTGCAACAGGCTTTGAAGTTGATGGTGGTCAACTTCGTTATCAACTTTATGTTTGGCTTGAAAGAGAAGTTGAAGCATTAAAGCAATTATGTAATTACATAACGTCAGATAATGTTGATGGCGGTCCAAATGTGACAACTGCTGAAGATATTGCGATTGAAAGTAATTACGACACGCCACAAATGGCAACGAAATTCCAACATGATCGTCCAACATTGCATGAAATTCTTCTTCAAGAGAAACACGACTTTGAAGCGAAAGTTCAAAGAGCAGCGAAGAGAAAGCGTTGGTTGAAAGCAAACGAGACTTTATTGCGAACACTTTTGAGTTATTGTTCATTACATGGCGCAAGTGGTGGTGGATTAGCGAGTGTTCGAATGGAACTCGTGTTGTTGCTTCAAGAACTTCAACAAGAGAAGACACAACAACAACTTCTCAGTCCACTTCCATTCCCAACGACTTTACCACTTCTTAGTGCTTGCGTTGCCGGCAATAAAACTGTCATCGCTGATCCAATTCGTTATCTTCAACAACATACACATGACATGCTTCAAACTGTCGTTGATTTACGCGGACCACCGATGGGCATTCGCGATGCACATTTCTCGGAAGTTTTCGTGTTGAGAGATCTCGCAGTTGCACTTTCAGCTTGTATTTATCAATCGTTATGTGATTCTGATACATTTAGCGTGAAACATTCAGTTGGTGGTGATTGTCATAGTCCTGGAATGGAGACAATTGCAAAACTTAATGCAAGTTGTCAAAGCACACATTTAATGGCAAATGCAGCTGCACATACAAGACGAAGAAAATATTCAACAGATGAACCAGTCACAGTCAGCACATCACCATCAAAATGGCCTGGCGTGACGAATTTAAGAGCTTTACTTGCAAGAGAGAAAGACGAAGACACTCCACGATTAAATGTTCTGTTGACTGAAGCTTTTGTTGCATCTTTCATGTCACTTCTTGTTTATGCTCTCACAACATGTGATTGTCACATTTTGTATCGTTTAGTTGGACAAAAGTTCACTGACTCGACATGGGCTTTGTTGTATGGTGGCGGTGTCAAGAAACTGTTACGAAAAGCGACGTCACATGTTCAAGCAGCACAACAAATGGTGCAGCAACAATTGCAACAACAGGAAAGTGCGGAAGGCGAGAGTGGAACTGGTGAAAGTGGAATGTGGAACACCGTGACGTCAATCACAAAGCATCGTGTGAAGCTCAACATGAAGATTCTTGGACAATTTGGTGGTCAACCAACATCGACAAATATGAAGGAAGATAAGCCGACATATCGTGAACAATTTGTGTCACCAGAATTGTCAATGGTGAGTTATTTCCTGACGAAACCTTCATTAAGTGGCGACACAAATGAAGACGATTATGATTCAGCGGATTCTGCTGTTTCTGATCTCGATGATGATGACGATGATGAAGATGTTTTTGCTGATCCACTCAACAATGATCCAAAGAAAACGCAAACGGCTGCGGCGATAAAGAAACATCGAAAGGAGAACAGCGAACATACAAATCCAAATTCATTGTCGTGGTGCATTCTTCGTTGTGCAATTGTGAAACATGCTCAGAATCAAATTCAATCATTTATTAATGTTGCTGGTTTGGAACTTCAAGAACTTCCAGTTTGTAGTCCGTTGATTCATGGAACGTTGAGATCGTTGGCGATATGGCAAGAATTGTTGAAGGAAGAACTTGAACATCGTGGACCAGCGTCTGCTGATTACATTCCTGGATGTTTTATTGAAAGTGAGAATAAAGGTCCATCAATCCACAAATACAGATCGTTGCTTGAAAGAAACAATACGCCGTTTAGTCCATGTGCAGCTTCAGCTGCCCCATCACGAAGATTATGGAACTTCATGGTGCGACAAGAACAATGTCAAGAAATCTTCATTCGTGCAATATTCGGGAAGAGAAAGACATTTGCTTATGATCAACCGAGCACTGCTTCTCAACTTGGAACTGCTGTTCCTTCGGTGTCGAATTCTGTTATTGATTTCTCACAACAATCTGAAGTTGGTGGCGTGAACTTCTCGGGATCGAAAGAACAAAATCATCAACAACTTCCCGAACCTGTCAGAATTATTCACAAAGATCAAGAATCAATTTCAGCTTTCTGTATTAATTTAACAAATGTTGGAATGCTGGCATTAGCAACACCAAGAGAACTTCAAGAAATGGACATTTCATTGCTGCTCGAGTCCCCAAATTGGTTGGAAGACGAATGCGAATTTGACATCATGAACTTATCCAAGGACGTTGACACTTTACCGTCGAGTGGTTTTCTTGTCATTCAATCAGCGAACAACGACAAGTAAGGAATTTTTAATTATTTTCAATCTTTTTTATTAAATGACTTTCCACCCCATCAGATCAGCTGAAAAGCAAGCACAGAATCTTCAACAAGCACCAATGCCAATGAGTCCACAACCAGGACAGACGGGACGTGGAGCTTCAGTGGTAAGAAAGTTAATTTATTATTTAATTAATCATTTGTTGTCGCGTCATGAAAAATGTTTAATTATTCAAATAGCAATGACACAAACACACACACATTCATGTTGCATTTAATCTGTCACATTGTTATGTGTGTGTGTTTGTCATCAAAAGCTTTTTATTTTGTTTCTTAAATAATTCATACAATTAACAATCATAAATTAATGTTGATTACATTTTGTGCATCTCTTTTTCCTTTTCTCTCTCTCTGTCTCGCTTTCCTGTGCTGCAAAATAATCAAAAATGTGTTTGATGTTCTCGCAAATACAAACATAAATAAATAACGCAATTTAATTCCTTTTTTTTGTGAAATAAAATGTTAATTGTGCAAAATGAAAATGAAAATCAGATTAAAGGAGCAACATTCCCTGGAAGTGACAATCCAAGATATTGTAAATTCATCATTGATCGTTCAAAGCACTTCTTGAAGCCGGTATACTAACAAAAACCAAATATTTGTTATCATTACGAAACTTTAAATCAGATTTCGGTGTCATTAAAATGTTGCTACGAAACTTTATGCTGGATTTGTGACTCAACAATGTTCTGCACGTTAAGTAACATGCGACACCGGAGTCTGCATTAATTATGATTTATATTCTTAATCCCAAACATTCAATTAAACCTGAAAATTGCTTTTGTTGTTCATTTTTCATCAACTTTAAACAATGAAAAGAGAAATCGATATTTTTTTTCATTACCATTTATTTTACCTGGAAATTTTCTTTTGTTCATTTCATTTCACTTAGAATTTAGTTAAAAATAGATTTTTATTGAATTTTATCTCCTTCAAAAATAAATCGCAAAATATTAATTTATCTTCTTTCTCGTCAACGTTATCGTCGTTCAGGTCCTGAAACATAAAATCGACAACATAAAAAGGATGAGTTCTCATCCATTGATGCCTTTGTACTTAACAGGCGGACAGGATGGATCTGTTCAAATGTGGGAATGGGGACATCAACAAGCTGTTTGTACGCCACGTCCTCCGGGAACATTCGCAAAAGGTAAAGTTAATTAACTCATCACCAATCGAGATAATTATTTTCATTTTATTTCATTCAGTGACTCGATGTCGATTCTCTCAACATGGAAACAAGTTTGGTGTTGCTGATGGTGATGGAAAGCTGAGTTTATGGCAAGTTGGACTTGCGTCTCAATGTAATCGATCATTCTTCGTAAGTGAATGAAATTTGAGAATGATTTGAAGTCCAATTATAATGCTTTTGTTTATTCTCCTTTCTCTTCTCTTCCAACAGACTCACGAATGTCACAACAAACTCATCACAGACTTTATGTTTCTCGGTTCATGCAGTTTAGTCGCAACAGGTTTGTAATTCAATATTTAAATTATTTACTTTTTTATCACTTGTTTGATTCTTTTTCTTTTCTTGTTCACCTTCAGCCGGACATAGTTCTGAAAGCAAAAACGTTGCAATTTGGGATACTTTGTTGCCACAAAAGAAAGCGATGGTTGCATGTAAGTTAAAAGCTGATTTTAATGTTTAATGAAATAATAAATGAGTGAATTTTATGACAGCATTTGCATGTCACGATCAAGGAAGTTCTAGTTTAGCATACGCTCCACAACATAATCTTCTGATATCAGCTGGAAAGAAAGGCGACATTTGTATCTTTGATGTTCGTCAGCGGACTTTGAGGCATCGTTTCCAGGTAAATGAAGAAGAAATCTTCAAAGATTCCATAAATTTAATTTCTTATTTCATACTTAGGCTCATGATAATGCAATAAAATGTCTCGCGATGGATCCACACGAAGAATTCTTTGTGACAGGCTCTGCTGATGGTGACATCAAGGTAAGTTTTCCGTTCTCATGTTCAATAAGCAGAAATTAATTTTTTTGAAATAAAATTCTTTCTCATTAACTCGAATGATGAAGGTTTGGGCATTAGCAGCTCCAATGAGTTCACCGCTTTTCTTCTACCCTGGTGAACACAAACACAGCAGTTTCTTCAAACACATGGGACAAGGCGTGACGCAAATTCAAATCGATCAACTCGGTCGAATGTTCTCGTGCGGCGTCGATGGAAGTATGAAAGTTCGATCACTTCCTGATCGTGATACGATCATCAACTCAATTTATTGAGTTAATCAGATGATAATAGATAATAATAATAATTATAATAATTAAACATAATAATAATAATAATAATTCTTCAACACATACACACACAAATAAGTTTTAAAAAATTTGATAACAACAAGATTCATGAAAAATATTTTAAAACAACAAATAGAGTTGAAACATTTCATCAAAAACTTTTTTCGATTTATCTTTTCTGTTCTTCCGTCTCATTAAAGTGAACAATAAAAATTTATCTTCTCGATGGTGACTCGAAAATTATTTCGATGCTTCTAAATATATTTAAAGAAAAACTTTTTAATGGACTTTAAAAGTAAAATTAATTTTGTGATGAGAAAAGTCGAAGAAGAACAAACAAATTAAAAAAATCTTTCTTGATTGAAAATTCTACATGAAAATTGAAAATCTTTAATAAGAAAATTGTTTTTTCATCTCTATACGTATTTATATTCATACAAAACGAACGCCCGCCCGCCTGCTCGAACGCCTTTGTGCTAAGATTTTTACTTAAAGTTTCCTTCCCGTTTTCCCTTTCATCTTAAATATTCAAAGCTTTTAAACGAAATTAAAGAAGACGCTGAAAATTAAATTTATGATGTCTGTTGATGATACGCCGGTTCGCTGAATGTCTGGCGAATCAAAGGAATTAATTATCGCGTTAATAATGTTCGCTACTCGACTGAACTTTGCGGTTAATTTCGGTAAATTTCGCTTGAAGTGGAAAGTTATTCGTCTCCGTTTGAAGCTTTCAGGCATTCTACGAACGTTCGATTATATACATGAAAGAAAATCCAAAATCCATTTAAATATTGTTAGTGTTGTTATTGAATAATATAAATATTTCATCCCCCGCAAACAATCCATTATTTATTGCATAAATCAAAGGAAAAGAAACTATGAAAACTTTTATTAGATATTTGAGCAAGAAATGAAATCATTAATGTTATAAAATAAAATAAAATTAAAAAAAGGATAAGTCAAGGCACTCTTGGGACACTCTTGACTGGGCTTTATGATGATGTTTATGAAAAGAAGCAAAAGAAAAGAGAAAAAAACGAAATTGTTTACTTAACAACATTTGACTGTCGTCTTTTTTTATTTTATTTTATATTTCTCGTTTTTCTCGATCAACTTGTACGCCTCCCTTCAACCTTATCATCTGAAAATATCCAATTTTCACCCCCATGGGTGCTTCCCTTTAATGTCAAACAAGGATAAAAGTTCTTCTACGCCAGCCATAAAAGAAGAAGAATAACGTTTTGGGGAAAATCCGATGAAAAATGGAAATTTTTACGTAAAGCGAGAGTTTGGGGGAGGAATCAATGATGATAATGACGATGATGATACTTACAGAAATTTAATTTAAAATCAAATCCTTCTATTGTTGACTTTTCATTTATTGATCCATTAATGACCTTCTTAGACGAATCGAGAACTTATTTAATAAGGAAAATCTGAGTTTGATCCCTTCGTCAACAAATTTCAATTGAAATCTTACTAAATCAAATCGAAGGGAAAAGAAGTTGTCTAATAATGAAAAATATAATCATAATTAAAAATCTAACAACAATAAGAAATCAAATAACGAAAGAGTCTTATGAAAAGTAGAAAGAAAACAAAACATAAAAAAATGTTTAAAGTTTTTATTCAGCTTCAAGCAGAAAATGAAGAAAAAAATTGTTTTTATTTCTTAAATACTTATGAGTTAAGTTTAAAGTCACACGAAGATTAATATCTATGATAAACGAGGGTGAACATATATTGTTGGCTATAATCAAGTAAATAAAAGAAAAATTATACACAATGAACATGAGATGTATGCCATTTACTCGCATAAAGTGAAGAATGATGAATAAAGAAATGGAAAATATCTGTAAAATTCCAAGAAAAAGAGTCTCGTTCATCTTGATCTGCTTTTGTATCATGCTGTTTAGGGACGAGAAAAGTCAAAATGCCGATGGGAAAATGACAATTTTTCATGTACATTTATTGTTCCAGTTTTATTTCCTTCTTTACTTCATCGCAATATGTTGGAATTCACAACAAAGTTTACATTTCTAATCCTTTTTTTTCAGAATAAATTTCAATTTCATCCATGACAACCAATTTCCTTAAAATTGCTTTAAATATTTCATTTTTTGTATTGTGGGTGGGTGTAGCGTGATAATTATAAATAGATATCTAGTTAAAAATATTACAAATTCTTATCATTGTTTAGACTCATTACAAATCAAATTAAAGCTTTCATCAAAGCATTGAGATACTGAGGATTGAAGATATTTAATTAATCCCACTTAAGACTCATTATTTTAAACTCAATCAAATTGATGTCATCGTTTTCAAAGTAAATAAGTACGACTCTCACTTTCATTAAATCCCAACAACTCTCGTCATTTCAAACATTCAAATTTTCTTCTTCATAAATATTCAATCATTTTATGAATTGCTTGCTTTCTTCTTGCTACATAATTCCAAAGAGTTCTTTTGTCTTCATTACACTTAGCTTTCTAGGAGATTACATAATCATAAAAAAAGATGAAAGCGAGAGAGAAAATATTGTAAATGATTTTCAGCTTAAGAGATTGTGATTGTCTTGAGAGCTTCTTTTTTTTGCTGTTATTATTGTTGATTTAAAGCGTGTTTATATTTACTTTCTCTTAAATATCAGGGTTGATGTAAAAGCTACCTCAGCTTATCTCTTCATGTGGTGCTTACTTTTGAGAGTTTCCATTTTAGAACTCATTTGGTTGGTTGAACAGAATGAGCGAATGAGTTGCTTCATAAATCAACATCATCAAAAATTTCGTGTAATTCCGTTGTTAAACGCAAACTTTCTGCCACATCAATTTGCCTAGCTTGCTTTATTTTTACATTAAATACATGAGCGCGCTTCAAATATTTGTTGTTACTGTTTTAATTTTTAAATAAAACATAAATAATACAAAGGAGGTGCAGCTGTTTCAGGATAGTCGTGCAGAAAAAAAAGATCTCTCGCGCTTCCGGCTGCTTTCCACTCCCCCGCATCGCATAAAATTTACATTTACATATTTTCATCAACAATCAGACTTAGGTTTTTTATTCTTTTATGTTCATAGGTAGGTAAATGAATTTCCCATAAATTTTCATGAGACTTTTTTTCATTCCATTCTTTTTTTGATGGGCTTTCAAATATTTCACATTTCATTATTTTTATTTTGGTTTAAAAGCTTTTAAAAATAAATAAGAAAAGAAGAAGAAATCGAAGTGTTTTCCGTCCCTTAAAGTAATTGGAAAGTAATAAGAAGAAATCTTTTGGTTGAAATAATTTAAAAAGTAAACGAAGTGGAAACATTTGTCAGTGATAATAAAACTCTTTTTATGAACAGTCGATGTCACCTGAGAGACTTGTAAAAGGTTACAAATTTCCTGGGTGTTAGTATGCTTAGTTGAGCAGCTGAGTGATTTAATTAAAACAAAGGGACAATTGAGTTAAACACTTGAAGTAGAAAAAGAAGCTTTTTGATGTCTCTCAGTGTGATCATTAAATATATTTAAAAGCTCGGATTTAAATGTTAATCAAAGAACAACAAATCGACATATGTAAATTGTGGGTTTAATTTCACTACAAACACATTTGGAATTCTAATAGATTATTTCACCTAATCTTTAACAAATATGACATAAATTATGTTTACGAATCATTTGTTTGAACTTTAGATATCAACCACATTCACTGTCGATTATGTTGTTCTTATAAGTTGTCTAAAAATAGTCGAAAACTTCGTCAATGGTCCACATTAATCCTCAAATCTTGTTTGTTGTCGTGGTGTACTTGAACTTCGCTCGTAAGCTGTTTGCTGTCTTCTCAATCTTGTCGCGGCATGTTGAAGAGGATTCGATACATTGTTGGTACAATTACAAATCGTGTCGATCAAAGAACGAGCAAGACTTCGTGCTCGCGTCACAACTCGCTTATTTTTGTCCTTTAATCCTGACATAAAAGCATTCAAGTTCTTTTCTTTCGCTTCGTCACTCTGTTGGCATTTTGAAAGACATTTTTCAGTTAAGTTCAGTGAATCGAGAAATGATTGACAATGAATTGGAATGAAAATGAAGGAAAAGTAACAAATAAACAAACAGCTTCTTATGCTATCAGCAATGACGAGAATTTTCTTTTTCTTTCTGACTTAGATATAAATAAATAAATTCGAGGAAAATTCCTTTAAGAAGCTCAATAAATGTCGACTCACCGTTTTCTTTTCAAGCCTCTCCTGAGCTGTTTTTTCAGCCTCGCCAAGCACTTCTTGTATGCATTTCTTTAGTTCTTCTACTTCTTCAGGATTTTGATGTTTGAACTCCTCAATTCGCTGACTCAAATCGTTATCCACATCCGTGCTCTTGTCAAGTGAAAGGGCAAAGTTGATGGAGGATTTTTGTGTTTGTTGGAAACCCACAGCTGCCATAATGTGTCAATGAATGCTCTCCTTAAATAAGTTTTCCTAACTTTCCGCTTTTCTCTTCACTTCCACAGTGGTGACTCGACTGTAAATGGATGTTAATTAATTTATAATTTAATTGCTTGTAAACTGCCTTGAAATTGAAATTCAATACAGCTGTGCGAGCCTCTTGAATTTCAGTTACTTAATATTATCTTCAACACTTGTCTCATCTCTCAATTAAGTAAATATTTCCCAACGAACGTGATAAGCATGTGACGAAATTCATTTGATATTCCCAAATCATCATTTGATTCAGAGGTGATATTCTCGCATTCCCGCAATCTTCCCCATTGCTCAAGTTTCAACCAACAATAATGATGTTGAATTTTTTACGATGAATTGAATTACAGTGAACGTGCGACGATGAATAGATTCAATAATAGGATTCCCTCATGTTATTGAGAGAAAGGAATTTCTTATGTTGAGAAATATGATAAAAAAAATCAGGGATGTCGATTGTCGCTAACAAAATTTTCTTTTACTCATATTTTACAACATAATTGTATCATTAAATTCATAAAATTTCCCCACAAACCACATAATCGACATCCCCAATAAGAATAATAAAAGAATTGAAAATAAAAATTCCTTTTAAAGACGGGAAATGATTAATTGACGTAGTCATGCAACGTTGAACAAGTAAATTGCTTTTCTCTTTTTCTTTAAGCTTCATTCTTTCACAGCAAAAAATTTGACTCATAATGCGTGGGAGTCTCGTGAGGTTAATGCTGTTATCATTCATGAACCGCCAGGAACGTGATTTTCGATACTGTTTGAGTTAAATTATCCAGGAGGATAAAAGCGTGGGTGTGCAACGAAGTGTATGAATGCTACTAGGAGATGCGAGAGTAATGTGATTACCGAAGCTTTTCTCGAGATTTAACATTAAGGATATGAAAAATTGCCACAATTTGTTTCAGTTATTCTTCGCAACTGAAGTTCGCATGAATGTTTATAAATAAAAAGTAGCAAGTAAGTTTCTTTCCGACATGAAAATATGAAACAAAAACAAAAAGAAAATACTGACTTTATTTAATAATTCATTACTTTCCTTTTGTACCGTTTCATTTACTTGTTCTAGTTTGTTTTTTTCTTTTCTTTTTATTCAGACGGTTTTTTGTTCTACCTCGTAGGAATAACCATAAAATTTATTCACGTTTCCAGCATAATTTAATCAATCTTTAAAAGCTTTAAGTAAAACTTTTCTCTCTCAGAAGATTTTTGTGTTCTCAAAAATATGTTTTATCGATAGAAACTTATGTATGAGATCTAATTTTCCTTTTTCAATTGAAACTCTGCATGTTGGTGAAAAGATATATTTTCACCCTTTTACCCATTTATATTTAGCAAACCCATGAAGCGGAAGCATAAAACATAAATAAGAGAAACAAAATAAGTTTCGTCTGTTGAGTTAATTGGATGAAATAAAAGTAACTGGTGATGTTAGCAAGTACAAAGTTTATTTATCACTCCCGAGTGATGTTTCCTTTCTGTTTTCTCTCTTCATTCGCAGTGACGTTAGAATCCTTTCAATGTAAAAGCTTCTTTATTCATTTCTCCCCCTCCGTCACTGAGCTTTTCATTTCTCTTCAATTTTCCATAAGAGTGTATTTGAATTGAGAAAGGAAAGTGAGCCAAAGGCATATAATGAATTTGTGTTTAAACGATTTTTTTCTTCACGTCTCGTTTTTATCGTCTTGCCATGCACGTTCTGCTATCTGAGATTCGACACTTTTAACATAATCTGATACTCACTCACTTCTGTTGAGTCAGTTCCCCTCGCCTTTTCAAAATCGTTTATAACTCTCCCCAGGGCTTTAATTCATTTGAACGTTGCTTTTTTTTTCTTTCTTTTTTTCGTTCTCTTTCTCCTTCACTGTTCTAATTTCGTTTCCACTTTCCCTTAAATATGATTCGAAATCAAGTTGAATTAAATGAGGAAATAATTTTCTATCAACAGCTCTCGACCACTCAGTTTTCTTAATTAAATGCAAATTTTATGTCAACAAAAAAATTTCTCTTCTACAATTTTCAACACAACATAAAGTGAAAAATATTTCTTTACTGTCTGCGATTTTCAGGAGCTACGTCTTCATTTAAAGCTACACAAACACAAAATGCTTACAAAACTTCCAATCACATCGTGAACTTTAGAAAATCATATTGTCATGGAAGATTTTCTTCTTTCCTAACTTTCCTGTATTTGATTATTTTTCCACTAGCAAAGATTTGTATGAACTGGAAAATTATACAAAAGGATAAAAGCTTTTTATGAAAGCTTTCGCTTTTGAAATGTGAGCTTTAAGCTTTCCAAAGCATGCGCAATTGCATGTTTTTGTCACAACTTATTTTTCCGTTGAAAACAATCATCGAAATGGTCAACTTTGTTGTGCCTTCAAGTCTATGAAGCATGTTTGAATTTACTAGAATCAATTTGACATTTGCTATTTCAAAAGAATGAAGAGAGAGATAGAAATAGAGAGAGAAAGGGAGATGATGATGATTAATCGCATGATGGTCTACTTTATCAGTGAAAACTGACAACCGATAATTGATTCGAGTTTCGATTACTTTTTTGTGTGATTTGGATCTATAAATGTTCATTCGTTACTTCATCACTGTTTTAGTTCTACTTGAATCGTTTTCTCAGTCACATAATGAAGTTTCTGTTTGTTGCCTTGGTGCTTCAGCTAACGGTTGGAAATAATTTTTTTCCCTATTAAACTTTAGTTAAAAAGAAAAGTTTTCAAATTTTAAACTTTGTGTTTTTACAGCTTTCCGATGCTATGCACAACTCGGAACCTGCTGAAAATTTGCCATATTATGCTTACGTTACTTTTGTTAACGCACAAATGGAATTTTATGGCGGTGGTGCATTAATTTCAGGAATTCATGTTTTAACTTGCGGTGCAAATGTTCAAGGGTAAGGAAAATCGAACACTTTGAAAGAATTTCAATTTTTAATTCAAAATCTTCATAAAAAAGTTTTACTATGTGGAGAGTTAGTGTGGGATCGAACAGAAGAAGTCAGCATCAAAATTTTATAACGACCCAAGCTGTCGCACATCCAAATTATGCTGAAGCTAACAATGTTCGAATGAACGACATTGGAATAATAACTCTCTTGCAGCCAGTGGTATTTTCAGCATCAATCTTTCCTATTGCATTAGGGCCAGTGTTTGGTGATGAAGAACCGTCACCGATGTTAAATATCCAATCATTAATTATGGGATTTGCTGGTAATTTAACTGCTGGTACGCAAGGATTAGAGAACTTAACACAAGGTCATGTGAGAACGACCGATGTAGCAACATGTGTGGCTTTGTATCCAGCGTCAGATTTAATTCAACATTTCTGTGCTGAAGATCGAAGCGTGGGCAGCAATTTTTGTCTTGGCGATCAAGGAGGTCCAGTAACGACAATGGCAAGAGGTCGTGAAATTATGGTCGGTATTCAATCGCTGCCTGGCTGTACAATAAGACCGAGCTTATACATTAGAGTCAGTTCTTATCGTGAATGGATCCGTAGTGAGACTGGAGTATAGAAACTTGAAGTATTCCTCTCAACCCCAGCGGAATTAATTAATCGGTGAGTTTATTCGCTTATAATGGAGCCATGTTTAGCATGAAACCTTTTTTAATTTTTAATCAATCTTGATACCTTAATTAAGAATTCAAATCTGTGGAAAAAATCTTCTCCCCTAATTCCTGAAGGATTTTCTTTCCATCTTCTTTCATGAAACTTTTTCATTGTGAAGCCTTTAAAATATTTCTTTCAAAGTGTTATCAATTACAAAATGTTGATTATTATTACAAATAACAAAAATAATGTGAATCATGCAGCATGTTAAGCTGAAAATAATGAAATCATTTATCGATAAATCTTATTTCGTTCCCTACATTTCTTTCAAAACTTTTGATGAATTCAATTTTAATTTCTTTTTCAGACATTTCGTTATCGACAATATTGGAATGTTTCGGATTTTTAAAATAAAAAATATTTTGTATAGAAAAGCGTGATTTATGATAAGAAAATAAAATAGATTGAAATAAAATATTTTGTTGTAGATTTTAATTTAAAATTGAGTATCCAAATGTTGCCCTGATGAGATTTAATGAACGTTCGTTCAGTTCATAAATTATTAAACATTTAAATTTCACCTTTTCAAACTTTTCGTATTATCTCTTTGACTCATCACATCTAATCTGACTTCTCCTATCTTTGATTAAACTTCCTGATAAATTAAATCTCTTGATAAGATTTCAGCAATTTTTTGTCACGACTAACGAGAGATATAAATTTTTTGGATGTGAATTGATCATTTCGAGTTGTTTTATTGAATTGAATACAACCATAATGAAAGTTTTAATAATTTCCTTGCTTCTCGTAGCGTCATTGGCGGTAAGAAAACTTTAAAACAATTGAAGTGAATAAAATAAAATGATTGAAAAATGTTCTCAGTGTATAGAAGGTATAAGAAATGGAGAACCATGGCTGGAAGCTCCTTATATGGCTCCCATTCAA